AGATGTTCCACCATCAGATGTAGGAAGATGTTCCTCCATGCTGGATGTATCTCCACCAACTGGCTGCTCTGTCCTCTGGTTCTGATCCATGCTGCGTTTACTTACTGATCCAGGACGTTGGATTTTCCTCCGTCTTTCTGAGGAAACACTTTCTGCAGTTCAGCCAAATGATCATAATTATGTTTTGCCCTCGAGCTCAGTTTAATGCAAACAGTTCATTTAGAAGTCAGATGAATGTTTTGGTGATAAATGGCGCCAGTTCAGGGTATTTTCTCTTCTTTTCTTAAACCCAGCGGCGGGTTTACAGGTTTCACTCCACATCTCCGTCTTTGTGTGAAAACAAACTGCACTGAAGCCCAGGTTCAGAAATAACTTCAACAAATCTGCTTTTAATCTCAGAACCTTGGTTCATTACTCATCTCGATGCTCAGTCACTGTGACTCAGGTAAAACCTCCCTCGACTTTCACAGGAAGCAATAAAAGTCTGGACTGTGCTGAGGATTGATTCCATCCGTCACTCATGAGTCTGTTTGGGTCCAAATAGCAGGTCCGGTGTGATTTACTCTCCCGGAGAACCGTCACCTATCATTACCGCTCGCTCCTCCTCCCTGTGCAGCGTTCGAGTGCTCGTCTGTCCGACGGCTCGCCACGAGTCCAGGTGTGTGTGATAACACGTGTTCATGGTGTGTTCATGCACTCACATAGTTCAGCATGCGGTGACTGAGATCGACATTAATGTGAAATGAGGCCAAATTAAAATCCAGGAAAAAAAAAAACTGCATTGAAAAAAACTCTAACTGTAAAAAAACAAGTGTGAAAATAATGTAATGTCATTTTAAGATCACACGCTGTCACAGAACAACGTTCCCGTCATACAAATACAGATTTTTTTATGTATTAAGCAAAGTTTGTATTTGGAAAACTTGTAAAATAATAATTTAGAGACTATTTCCCGTCTTTCATTCCTTAATCTACATCATTTTCTTTCAAATATTGGCACACCTGTAAAAAAAAAAAAAAATATTAAAGACAGTAAAAATAGTATGATTTATAGTCAAACACTGCAAAACAACTACATGTTTTCAATGACTCATACTTTTTCTTTGACAGTTAACATGTAAATTAATAATTTTTTTCTTTAATTTTCAAACAAGGAAAATCTATAAAATAATAATTTATTTTTCATTCCTTAATATTAATTTTTTCCCTTAAAATATGAGAAAGTTTTAACTGAATCAAACTCAGAAAAAAACTAATTTTTAAATGCGTCACATATCATTAATAAAAAAACTGAATTAAAATCAAAAGTGATTGATCTTTTTTGCATATCTCTGATTATTTACTCGGTTAATTCATGACTCGTCTATGAAGCGTCAGAAAACAATCCACATTACGACGACCTCAGTTCTCATCATTTTACATGTTTTGTCTAAACAAGACTCCAAAGCACCAAAATATTCTGTTTAAAGGACACGAACGTCTGAATCCTGCCCTTCTCTTGTCAGTCGAAAAGCAAACATGCATGAATATAATCAGCCTGTAACGCTGCAGACTGAAGCTGCAACAACATCTGTCAAAGTCACTTATCGAGCAAAAACAGGTTGACGGTTGATGCTTCGTTTCAGCGTCCTAACAGCACAGTGTGTGTGTTTATATGTATCATATACGTGTGTGTCAGAATGTGTGCTGTGTGACTGGAGGAGAGCTCGTTGTGTGTTTTCACTGTGCGACTGCTGCCTCACTGTGGTGTGTCTGTGGTACTGACAGGCACTCATAGACCTGCCTGACTTCTGCTTCAGCCAAAACCCAACATGAGTCCAGATGTCCTGTAGCTACATGTTCAGCATTTCACTTCCAGTCCCATTTATTAAACAGTGACAGCAGGAAATCCTGTCAGTTATTATCAGTAGAAGAACACCGGATGAGATATTTACATGAGTTGAAGCTGCAGACATGATCGGGCCTGAACCAGCTGAGAGGCAGCCCAGGACGTAGCCGAGCAGAGTTGTCATGTAGGAATACTGGGTGCAAGACTCAGTCATGACTGAATGACCGTAAACCAGCCTGGTAAGAAGTGACTTAAGATGCTGGAAGGAAACTCAAGACTCGAGATAAGTGGCGTCATCAACCCCAGGTTCTGGTCACTGGATCGGACCGAGTAGCGTTCCTGCTTCACTACCACCCAACCCTGTCTCCAAAGCAACAGTTCATGACTTAAAATTACAAATACTCGTTCGCTTTGTTCTCAAAATGTAAATGAATGACAAATATCCACTGAAATAATATTTTACTGCGATGAACAAAGCTCCGGCTGAGGACGCTCACCGACAGTTAAAGTCAGCCGGGTTGATTCTACCCGCTTAGGAGGTCCAGTTTGTTGCTGCAGCACCAGACAGCAGCAGACCAGCGTCACCAGATCGAGACAGTTGTGAAGCTACGACACCATTTATCAGGTACTGATGCAGTCTTGAGATCTTTCCCCAGAAAGTCATTGTGACATTTCTGGAAAAACAGGCAGGATGCCCAATCAGACATGAAACAACCATCGAACCAGACAAGGGGGTCCACGATACCACTTATCAGATACTTGCAATAAACGGTTGTCCAGGAAGTCTTGGATCTTTCGTACCTTTATTCATGTGAGTCTTGGGTTGTTGCAACTTTTACAGAAAGGTGAGAAGGGCTCTCATGCAGACATGTCTAAAGAGAGGAGGGGTTCCATGGTACCATTCATCAGGTACTTATCATGCAGTCTTCAGATCTCTCTGAACGTCTAACAACCATGAACACCTCGAGTCACATGAGTCTTGGGTTATTGAGACATTTCAGGAAAAAAAAGGCAATCGGACATGAAACCACCACATAGCCAGAGCAGGAGGTCCACGATAACTCCTATCAGATGCTTACAATGCAGTCTTGAGATCTTCACTATCAACATCTTGGGTCCTTCCTCACTGGGCAGTTTCACAGCTTGAATCATGTGAGTCTTGGGTTGGGGTTCCATGGTACCATTTATCTGGTACTTGTGCAGTCTTGAGATCTCTCTGAACATCTAACAACCATGAACACCTCGAGTCACATGAGTCTTGGGTTATTGGGACATTTCCAGAAAAAAAGGCAGGATGCTCAATCGGACATGAAACCACCACGTAAACAGAGGAGGAGGTCCACGGTACCACTGATCAGAGACTTACAGTGAAGGCTTGAAGTGTCTCCTCAAAAAGTCTCAGAAACATTCAAACCTTTATTCACAGGAGTCTTGGGTTGTTCCAACTTTTAGCACAAAGTAAACAGGATGCTGGTTCCATGCAAACAGAAGGTTTACATTCACATCTCTATTCACGTGAATCTTGGGCTGTTGAGGAGTAATGCTGATGAGCTGCTTCTAATGCAGTCTTGATCTCTCCTCCAGCACCATCCGAGCGTTGGGTTGTTGAAGGGCGGTGACTGGTGTCGCTCTGGGGTGACGATAAACATCATCAGTCGCTTAGAGCTGAAGAAGACTGAAGGTGAAACATCTTCAAGAACCGAAAAGAACCTGCACACCTTTACTGAGACGTACCTGTTGCAGTGATCAGACCAGGCTATTGCTGTCATTTGCATTTCATTTCCATGCTGGTGTTGAGCTCAGTGCTGCTGCTGATGATCAAAGTTTGCACACAGACAGCTGACGGGGTGGTTTTTGTTCTTTATTCCTTCAGAAGTCCTGCAGTCTGGTCTGGACCGCCAGATTAAACAGGCCGTACAGTTTAGCATTTACACAATCATCAAATAGAGTTATGTTTGTATTTATGTCAGCGTGTGTGTGTGTGTGTGTGTGTGTGTGTGTGGGTTGCAGCGTGTGTTTACAGTTCTCTGTAAAGAGTCGCTCCGTGGTCTTTATGCTGTGTAATCCCACGGCCTCGTTCTGGAAAACATGAGTAGCAATGGAACCACTGACTCAAATTTTGGATCTCATTCTCATGACAAAGCAATTGTCTCAATTACAGAGGGCCCGGCAGGTATAAAAGAGGGCGACGCGAGCGCACACACATCACACTTACATTTCATAAAGCGTCGACACTTGAAGGGAGAGCCCGCGGTGGAGCAGAGCCGGTCTCAAGATGGGCAGGGTGAGTGGCGACGGCACCGCAAACATGAGCCAGGACCAAAGGGGGTGTGATGAAGGTCTCAGAGTCAGGTCAGGACGGTGACGCTCTCTGTGGTTCTGCTGCTGGTCCAGAACGTGTTTGATGGAAGCAAATAAGGATTCCTGAGCAGAGCCAGAAGCCTTTTCTACTTTATGTCTTATCAGCTTTCTCTCTCGTCTCCAGTCCATCCTCTGCTGTAAAGAACATTATGCAGAGTTTCTCCTTTTTATTTAAATTTTTTCTTGTTTTTTTAAATACATAAAAAAGTGTCTAGTGTAAATCAACATAACCTGCAACTGTGAGTTTTAACATGAAAAGGCTCCTAAAATATATTTGCAAATTTATCATAATTTCATGAATATTTAGTTTTAATAAACCTGTTAAATTCAAGTGTGATGCTGCAAATACAGTCCTGGAATGACATGCAGTTAGATTTGTGTGTTAAATGGGAGACATAATTACAGAAGCTGTCACGCTAAAACGTTGAATTAATGTGTTTTCATGAGTGAATCACGTCCTTTAAACATTACACCTCATTTACTATTCTATCTATTGGAAGATTTCAGTATTTATTTTACAGTCATATAAGTAGTTTAATGGTTTCTACCTTCTAAATATCTTTAACATTAAAAGCAAAAAAAAAGGCCAGAAAATGTAATAATTGGGAATAATTTTTTGCACCATTCTTTTCCTTTACTGCACGTTTCTGAAAACAAAAACAACTGTTGTCAGCGGTTTAACACCGGCTTGTGACTCATCAGATCATCTTCTACGAGGACAAGAACTTCCAGGGTCGCAGGTACGAGTGCGACAGCGACTGCACCGACTTCCACTCCTACCTGAGTCGCTGCAACTCGGCGCGGGTGGAGGGCGGCACCTGGGTGATCTACGAGAGGCCCAACTACTCTGGGTACCAGTACGTCCTGACCAGGGGCGAGTACCCGGACTACCAGAGCTGGGTCGGCCTCAACGACAGAGTCAGCTCCTGCAGGATGATCCACTTTGTAAGCCGCGCACACCTCCAGAAGCTCAAACATCAAACAGGCGGTTGTCGAGGCTGAGAACTCGAAGGAGTCCTCGTTTTTTTAGACACATTTTAAGGGCTGAAAGCATTTTTTTTTTTTTAACGTTCACATCTCATATTTGTCTGGCTTCACTGTGCATGTGATGAGGTAGAACTCTGGGTCGTGGGGGTTCTGAGACGTCCATTATTGTTTTCTTTGTGGATCAATGTTCGAAACGTCGTAAGTTGAGAAATACTCTAAGAAGAGTCCTGAAATGTGGCGGACTCACTGATAAGTCCAGGTGGTGTTCAGCGGTGCAGCCCTGCTTTGATAGAATCGTACAAACCAGATATACGACGGTGCAACGTTGGTCAACAAATGTTTCTGTCTATTCCGACATCCCACCAGCTATAAAACATTATTTTTTCTTCTCCATGATTGGCTTCAATAGTAGCTTTAACAATGAACAGCATGATGCAGTCAGAGGAATACTTTATGATTACAGTTCAGTTTTTTTGGCCAAAATCTGAACATGCGTTGAGCAGGTATGATGATGAAACCACTCCAACGGTTTCCCAGCTGGACTGAAAGCAAAATCATGGCTGTCAAACTAAAGTATTTCATGAAATTTGACACCATGAGCATTTTCATCCATGTTTGTTGTCGGTATGTTTCCACTTGTTTTTGATTTCTTCATCAAGATCTGTTTGGATTCGTTACAACCTCGTTAGCAAGGAGTGACACAGAAACACTGTGTTGGTAAAGTTGGCAGCAGCAACGCCTGCTGTCAGCATTACATCCCTGTTTTACAGTAACTTAGGTCCAGCTGTGGGTAGAACATGGGTTCTCCAGTTCCCTGCGTCTTGATGCATATTGAGGTTGACACTGTATGGATGGATTTTCCAACAGATGGTGAGTATTTGCTGAAAAAACACAAAAAACATCATTAAGAGGTAATTTTTTCTCACAAAGTGCTTCTGATTGGCACCACACTCGACATAGTCGAAGCTCCTATTGGTGCCAATCACAGCAGAAGAGAGAAAATCAGCCTCTTAGAGTGAAAGATGGTTTTATGGTTGGCGGGATATCAGAGTGGACAGAAACATGGACGTTTGTGGACCATCATATATCTGGTTTGTATGATTCTATCAAAGCAGGGTTGGACCACTGAACACCACCTGGACTTATCAGTGAGTCCGCCACAGTTCAGGACTCTTCTTAGAGTCTTTCTCAAGTTACAGATCTTCAAACATTGTTGGCGTGAAGAAAACGAACTCGACCTTCTTTGGGAGTGTTTAACTCAAGAGCTGGTGCTGAGCCCAGACTGTCACCAGCTCCATCCAGATCTTCAAATACAGGTCAAAGTGAAGAAGGTCGAGCTCTCCTCCACTCTAATGTCTCCCTTCATGTCCACTCAGGCCGCTGGAGATCCGTACAAGATCCAGCTCTATGGTAAAGGGAATTTCTCGGGCGAGGCGTTCGAGGCCAGCGAGGACTGTCCCTCTGTGCTGCAGAAGTTCCACTGGAGGGAGGTCCACTCCTGCAGGGTTCTGGGCGGCTGGTGGGTCTTCTACGAGCACCCCAACTACAAGGGCCGCCAGTACCTGCTGGAGAAGGGCGAGTACCGCAAGCCGGTGGACTGGGGCGCCGTGTGCCCCACCGTGCAGTCCTTCAGACGGCTGACCGAGTAGCCGCTCGCCCTCGCCTGGTTCGGCCCACGATTGGCGCCTGAGGAACCCGAGTACAATAAAAGTCAACAAATGACAGGGTTGTTTCATCACTGTGTGTCTGGGAATGTGTGCAACACGAGACGTAGGAGTGCGGCCACGCCACACTTTAATTATAGCAAGAGGCTCCACGCTAGCACTTATGCACATTTTTAGCCGTTTACATCCCTTTAGCGTGACATCACCACCATACGTTTAGAAAAATCATGTGTTTCGGGGAGCGTCTGTGTTTATCGGCAGCCACTCATCGGCCTCCTTCCTCTGCTGCCCTCATGACCCTGTTGGGACTTTTTAGAAGCTCTTGCTGGAAGTGTAAATAAAAAAAACCCAGTCAGAACCTTAAGTAAGACAAACGGAAGTGAAACTGTACAACAGACTTTTATTATCGTCTCCACGCTGCTCATGACGGCAGTTTAAAATATGTACACGGAGCTCACGGGCCAAACTCTGGCTGTGCGTTTGTCATGCAGTAAGTCATGCTGCCGGTCCGGTCCGGTCCGGTCCGGTCACTTCGAGGGCCGCCCTTCATCCACGAAGCTGAGCTGGGCGCTGTGCTCCCCCCACTCCACCTCCTGCAGGGCCAGGAGCGCCTCTCGGGTGGGTGGTGCCATGCTGGAGGCCTGGGGGTGGGGCAGGTGGAGCTGGGACTCGGACCGGGACAGGACACGGGCCTGGGGGCGTGGGGGCTCTGATAAGTCCACCAGCAGGGGGGAG